TGTCGGAAGCTGGTTGGGAAGTACATGAATGGTAATCACATGACTGCAGGACACTGCAGCAGTTGTAAATATGTGCTGGTTGAGAAGTTCTTGAATGGTGATTGCGTGACCATGGGATGCTGCAACGTTTGTAAATTTGAGGATTGGCTGCAAAGCTTTTTTTTTAAACAATGATGTAACTTTGAAGAGTTACTAAATGAGGCAGTTGCTAAGCGAGGACTACCAGTACATCACTCAATTCAGATGGTTCTTGAAGAGGATTATATACATGCCCAAAAGTTCTTCCATAGAAACAACACATACACACAGTACACAATTACACATTTTCCTTTTTAACAGGATATTTTCATGGTTGGTGGAATGTGTGAGCCTTTTGGGTCTACTTTTTGGAGGAGAGACTTAAAGGTTCCTGGGAATATACTGCGTATCAGGCATTAACCACTAGATTCTAGTCTGTAGTTTTTCTGTTGGGAAAAAGTTATTCTCACAACACAAATGTAAGTTATTTAATGTAGCAGGAAAGAACTATGTTCCTGACTCCCTTCAAGGCAAAATAGACGAATAGCTGAACATATCTGAAGGCATCACCATTTTGATCTAACAGTTCATACAACTGTTTGATTAATAATTTCTAAGCACACTGCCTGTGAACTATTGCATTTCCTCATCATTTTTATAAAATGTTTTAAGTAATGTCCTTAAAATTATTCAGCTGATTAAATAATTCCTTAGAGCAGCTGATTAGCTTAATTTCAGTATGAATTAAAACATATAATTTTGCCTAATGTTGTTATCTAATACTGGAGTAAATTACACTTAGAATAGAAACAAAAAACAGTAGAAATTTACAATCTATCTCTATGGCACCTGAAAGATTTTGTGACACAATATTCTACAGGCTCCAGTGATATTAAGTCCAATGTTATTTCCCAGTCTCTTTAGATTTCAGGCAACTGCAGAACATTGAGCTTAATTTTTCATGTAGTTAGTGATGGCAGAATGCAATCATTTCTTTTTAGGAGCATAAATATTAGTTCTAGTCATGTGCTTTTACTTTCCCTGTAGCATTTTGTAATGTTGGAGTATAGCATATGTGAAAAACTGAGCATGCTTGAGAAATATCTTTTAAGCGTTTAATAAAGGAGAGAAATAGTTAGCAAATATTCCAATAATTGCGTCTGTGCAATTCTAATTTCTCAATATTTCTAACAGGAAAATATTGTTAAAATAATGTAGCAAGCCTTAACATTTAAGTACTTAAGGTATCTAAAAATATTCTGTACCATTACTACCAACTCTAAGAAACCAATTAAATTTTCAACTGACACATATTCTGATAATAAAGAAATAAAACCCAATATATTAGTTCCTTAAACAACAAAAAAATGAACTATAAAAGCATTAATATTTAAAGCAAATTAATTAGATGAAACAAAAAGGCTTAATTTCCATCTTTCAATGAAAAAACATTGACCTATTGCAAATGGGATATCCAGTTAATCCTTTTGTTTGGGGCTGATATTATTATTTGCAATGTATTTGTCTACTTAAAAAATAAAAATAGGTTATTAAGAAAAAATATTTGAGTGCATTCTAGTGGAGACCCTGCAGGAATACAACTCATCCGAATGAAACATAATTAGGAAAAACAAAATGTGCAATTTTAAATCAGTTCACTGATAATGTGTAAAACATCAGTACCCCACATTTTAACTGGCAAGACATATTCTTTTCATTTGGGAAACTGCAAACCAGTTATTCTGTACCAGATTAGATTGTCAAGTAGAAACAATAAAATAAGGACACTGTGCTGGTCTATATGAGATGGAGGAATAATAACTGAAAGGCTATGAAAAAAGATTGAGAGACATCTGTAGTCAAACTTCCTTATAACATATACCAGTGTCACCCAAAATGAGGGAGAAAATCTCTAAAAGCTAGTGGAAACATCTTTGATTGTATAGTTAACCACAACCGTCCAATTCTCTTTTTTGAGAACATGCAGCCTGTCACATACACATCTGAAATTAATCAGATCTGAAAGATACAAAACTTTTAGGCGGGATATTAAACCACTCTCTTTATGAACTCAAGATAATTTATATTAAGGTTTTCATTCTAAACATGGCTAAAGTATAGAGGCTGGTTGTGAAATTGAAGATTTCTTCTTATTTAACTAGATTATAAATCTACTTGTTTGATGTTAGATCTGACAAGTGCAATTATAGCTTCAAAGTACATGCTTTTAAGGAGGAAAGGAAATGAATCCCTCAATAAATAAATATATAAAACCAGCTTTGCTTTTCAGGCATTGGTATATGAATGCTTCAATCTCTCTTTACTATTAAATGAGGGGGAATAAATCAGATGCTGATGACTATAAACAGAGAAGCTAGTCAAATCTAATTCATGAGAGCACAGTTGCCTGCCCTACAATTTATGACAAATGATAAAGCTAACATGGTCATCCGTCAAAGCTAATATTGGCTTCTCTGCACTGCGTGGGATGCTCACCTTCTAGGAACAGAACTCCTCTTGGATTCTGTGTATGGACTGGAAGGATGGAAACTATTTTCAAAGGCTTAACCCAGGAACACAGAAGAGGAAAACTAGTGTAAAATAGTCCCGAGACATGGAAATTGACTCTCTGTATTTCTGTTAATTTCTTAAGAACCATCTTCAGAAAATAAATGGAATTATTTTGATGCTCAGGAATAGTTTTCATAAGTTATATATTAGCATTTGAATTTTGTCAGCAAGGCATTTTAAAATTTGAAAGATCCTCTCTTATTAATGATTAAGATAATGTCCCATCCTTATTAATTTTCTTGCTTTTTTTTCTACTAAGAATAGTCTTTAAAACCTCTAGAAATACAATGAAGAATCTGCCAGTAAATCCGATATTTTCACGTAGCCATAAAAACCCTCCTCAATATATGGGTCTAAAATTTTAAAAACTAATTTAAATATCTGGGTCTTTATATTTTTAAAAGGAGGGAGAAATTACTTATCTTTCATGTTGTTGGACATAATATTTTAATGGTCCTGTTTATATCTACTGCATATTATATATGTGTACGTCAGCCTGCATACCAGGGTTTTTCAACCTTAGCAGCTTTAAGATGTGTGGACTTCAACTCCCAGAACCAGAACTATGCTGGCTGGGGAATTCTGGGAGTTGAAGTCCACACATCTTAAAGTTGCTAAGGTTGAGAAACTCTGGTGTATACACACACACACAGCATGTTCTCACTCCCAGGACACATGAACATTTCCAGTTATGTTCACATGAGATGGAGAATTCTTCCCCAGTATAAACTATAAAACAAAACAAACTAAAATTAGTTGGCTATGCTGACAGTCCAATAGATTTACGGCTGTATCCATATACAGTAATACCTCGGTTCACGAACGCTTCTGTTCACGAACAATTTGGTTCATGAACAGCACCGTTCACAAAATTTTGCTTCTGTTCGCGAACTCTGCGTCGGGTGACGAACACGACCTGCGGCCATCTTCCCTGCTCTGACACGTGGTCATGGCTTCCTGTAGGCGAGGGGGACTCTCCTTCCAAACAATAACCGCCTCCTCACCCGCCTTCCTGTCCTCCACGCCAGAAGTCGCCTCAAGCAAGGTTAGTGTTTTCTCTCTTCATACTGTACTGTACTGTACTTTGTTTC